AGCACTGAGAACCAAGCACTGGCTGCCAAGCTGAAGAGTCTGAACTTGATCCTGGAGCCTATGGAACCACAGAGTTCTTTTCAGGGAATGTGCTATTTGGAAATCTCTGGCAGAGCGGGGGAGGACTGCAGGACATGTGGGCGGAGAAGGAAGCTAATGGGACACCTTTGCACAATCCAGGTGAGACGTGAGCAGGGCCCCACCAGAGCCATGCAGATGGAGGAGGAGATGGATGGAGGGATGGAGACGGGGAGGCAGACGCTGCAGGACTCCAATGTGCATATTAACAGGAAAGGAAGGGCTCAGGGTTGGATCCCAGGAGTCTGCTGGGTGGTGGAACGTGAGCATTCAGGGAGCTAAGGGATGGATGCAGGGGGAAGAGCGGCTGCGTGTTAAGCAGAGAGCTGAGCAGCCAGGCAGTAATGATGGCTACCGACCGCCAAGCCACGCAAGAGCGGGGCTGACCTGGCGGGGAGGCAGGGAGATTAAATTAGTTGGTCCACACGATGGGCCTCGCACAGGGCCTCTCACAAGGCGGGCGGCGGGAGGACTGGCTCTTCACTTCTCTGTTGTTAGCCTTGTTGGACAGACTAGAGAGCTGCTGGCACTTGCCAGGTTCACACATCCAGGAAGCCAGACTTGGAGACGGTGTTCCTGGGCCACACCACCATCTGAGGTCACCTGAGTGTGGGTGGTGGTCAGAGCCCAGGGGGTGGTGGGGCTCACACTGGGGAAGGTCAAGGGGATGGATGTGGGGGTCCAGAGTTGGAGCCCAGGGAACACTGGTACTGCTGACCCCAAACCCTTGGCCCACGCTGCACCCTCTGGGCTCCCTGGCGCCCCAAGTCCAGCAATGGATTCCCGGCCTCACTGTGTCCTGCCCAAGAGCCTCTGCTCCAGCCTTTCTGGAAGGGTCTCGGTCCTGTGCTCTCCTCCAGAGTTCCCGGAGCTCACGGTGAGCTTCCTCTGCCCAGGGGGATGCTGAGTGTCCCCTGCTGACACTTGGCGATGGACAAGTCTTCCTGGATCCTCCTGCAGGGCTGTGGCGGGGCTTGGGTGAGGTCAGCTGCGTGGCTGCTTTAAACACCCAAACAGAAGGTGGTTCTCAAGTCCCTCAGAACCTCGGTTTCCTCATCTGTCCGTCAGACAGCCAATCTGTCCCCATCTCACAGGTCCCGGTGATTTAAGGAGCCAATACAGGTGCTCTTGGGGGACAGCTGTGGGCTCTACCACTGAAGTCACGGTCCCTGAAGGCGGCTGGGGTGGGGACAGACTGGGGAAGGAGGTGGGAAGCAGCCTTGAACTGTGGGCCGCTCAGCTCCTCGTGGGACACACAGGGCAGGGTCGGGTGGCGGGGAGGAGGGCAGCTGTGGGCGCGCTGGCTGGCCAGGCCGGGGAGTCGCTGTGGAGGCCGATGGACTGTGACCTCCTCCCCACTGTCGTCGGCTCCTGCTTGGCGCATGTGTGCGTGCCTCTGCACACCCGGGCTCCCGTGGGCGTGGACGTCACACTCGGTGGGGCCCTGGCTGTCGGGGATGTTTTTTGAGGGGGGTCCATCCTGACATCTGCAAGCCAAGCACCTCCTGTGTGTCCCCGAGCTGCGCAGCAGTGCCATCGAGCCACACGGGGAAGGATGACGGGCTGGTGGAGATGCTGGCTTTTTCCACAGGTGACAACACCGTGGGTGACAGTGGTGGTGTTGTGGGTGGGATGGCCTCTTGACTGCTTCTTCCGTAGGTGGCAGTCACCTGACCTGTACATCAGACACCCAATTTCCTAGAGAAGGAATGTGTGAGGGGGAGGCTGGGAGGGGAGGCTGGGGGAAGGCTGTCCTCCGCTCTCAGCTTTTCGCTATCCGTGTTTCCTTCAGGAGCAGCTCACTTTGGTGGGTGACTGGGGATGTGGTCAGGGGGAAAACTCCCTGCTGTGACATATTTCGAGGCGTGGTGGGGTGGGGTGGGGGTGAACGCACGTGACTAGCCTCCCCCAGACCTTTGCTCAAACCGCCCCCCCCCCCAGGACACCCTCCAGCTGGACGCGCCCTGCCCTTGAAGCTCAGCCCCGGCCTCTTCTGTGACACCTTGGGAGTGGCACGGTGGCATTGCAGTCTCCGTCCTTGGTGTGCGCCTAGCTTGCGAGGACAGCGGTACAGCAGCCCCCTGGCGCTCTGGGACACCGGCCAGTGGGCCCTCTCTGTTTTGGATGGTAAATTCCTGGAGTTCCACTTGGTGTGCAGGACCCCGGGCCTGCTGGCACATGGTGTGTTGGCAAGTTTAACAGCCAACTCTGGGGGGGGACCCTGTGTGGCAGCCACAACGGAACCCAGAGGAGACACCCCCAGCTTGCCAGGCGGACGGACAGTGGCTGGTTCACGTCCATGAATCCTCAGTGTAGGCGAGCACACAGTAGGCCCTCGGGGTATGAACGATGGATGGATAAAGAGCCGCCGGCTGGGAATGGAGTCCAGAGGCTGGAGCAGTGGAGGCCAGGCTGGCTTTGGGTGGGGGAAGGCCGAGCCGCCCACGGCAGCTCCCAGTGGGCTGCTCTGCATTCGCTCATAAATAACCTGTGAGGCGCCCCACGCGCTTTTCTTGTTGGGGCTTTTGTTTCTTCAATCTCAACAAAAGCCGCACTAATGAGTTATTGGAAAATCCAAGCCCTGCTCCAGGCCAGAGAGGCTGTGAGCACAGAGGGGGAGGTGCTGGGAGACTGAGCGCTGCTCTGAAGAGCAGCGCAGAAGGGAATTTAAAAAGCCCTAAAAGCTCAGGTGTGTGCAGGTCTTTGCAGTTCACATGGACTAGCTCAAGGAATCCTTCACAACCTGACTGGGCAGGAGTTCATTTCTGCTGTTAGGGAGGTTTCCACCTCAGGGCCTTTGCACTTGCGGTTCTCCCTGTCTAGAACAACCTCTCTTCCAGATAGTCCCTCTCATTTCACTCAGATCGTTGATTGAATGCCTTCCCTGAAGATCCTGCCTCAAGTGGCATCACCCCTCATTGTCCACCCCCTGGCCTTAGTTTAATTTTGGTTCCACAGCAACCATCACAACCCAATGTCTTAGGTTGGGTTTTCCCAGAAGCTGACTCCAAGGCAAAGATTTGAGAGCAGGTGGCATTTCATGACTCGAAATCTCCATAAGAGATGGGGAAATAGGGGGGCAGCGGATAAAGGGTGTGTTGTTTATCAGTTACCACTGTCACTGGGGAACTGTGGGGGACAGTGGGGGACACCTTCTCACATCCAGCCTGAGGAGGAAGGGGATTGAGCTATGCAGTTCCTTGGGTGTCAGCGGCTGAGGCTGGGAGGCCCTGGTCTTCTGGCCACGACATCAGCAGGCCAGGCGGCCTTGGGCCACGGCTGAGGAGAGGCAGTCAAAGGTTGGTGAGGGGCCTGGAGCGGCGGCACATGCCTGTAATCCCAGCAGCTCAGGAGGCTGAGGCAGGAGGATCTCAGGTTCAAAGCTGCCTCAGCAAAAGTGAAATGCTATGCAAATCAGTGGGACCCTGTCTCTAAATAAAATACAGAATAGGGCTGGGATGGGGCTCAGTGGCTGAGCGCCCTTGGGTTCAATCCCTGGTACAAAAAAATGTAAAGAGTCCTTGAGGGCACTGAAGTAAGGGTGAGGGAAGACTCTATATGGTACAACAACTTCATGGACTCTCCTGCTAAACTGGAACCTTCCTCAGGGAAGATGTTGGTTGTATTTGGTGCTGTGTCCTCTACACCTGCAGCAGGTAATCAAGAAATCGTGCTTGAATGAGCAGATGCCGATTTTCCAGATGAAGACAGCGAGGCTCAGAGCTGGAAAGGCCTGTGCCCAAGGTCTGATTCAAGCCAGGTGTGATAGTACACACCTGTCATCCCAACGGCTTGGGAGGCTGAGGCAGGAAGACTGTGAGTTCAAAGCCAGCCTCAGCAACTTAGCAAAGCTCGAAATAATTCAGCGAGACCCTGTCTCTAAGTAAAAAACAAAAAGATCATGGGCATGGGGCTCAGCGGTTAAGTGATTTTGGGTACAACCCCTGGGAACAACAACAACAACAAAGGATTTGTGCATACAAGAGTATTTACTGAGCACCTACTTTGGGCCCAACCCTTCTAATCTCAGGTTCCGAAGGTTTCCTGGGTTTCCTCCCGTCACTCCCCTCCCAGGGCGGGGATGTGGGACGTGCCTGACTCCACTCTACCCCCACAGGAGCCTCCTCTGGGTCCCGCCTGAGCTGTTGGAGTGAGAAGCTTTGCTTTGTCAGGTATGAGCTGTGCCACGCTTCCTGTGTCCCCGGGAATAACAGGGACCTTCCACTCACCCTTCCATGGAAGGAGCCACGTCAGGGAGGGTCTGAGTCTCCAGGAGCTTTGGGTGTGGTCAAAGCAGCAGGGACTTCCCGCCTGCTGGGTGCTGGGTTCCGGAGGTCTCCTGATGGGGAGGGAGGCGGGGCCTCTCCAGCCTGAGAAGCCTCAGAGACTCCACCCCGGGCCTTGGTTTGTGCCTGCAGTGCCCCATGGGGCTGTGGGCAGAGACTGGGCCCCATCGTGCTGAGGTCCCTGGGTCTCCAGGCCACTAGCGGCCATCAGAGGGCTGCTAGGGGGACCTCTCAGAGTGTGTCCAGGGCCGAGGGGCCTGACAGGCCTGGCCCAGCGAGCCGGAGCCACAGTGACGGGAGTCAGTTCCCACGGCAACCACAAGGCGAGGCCTCTTTTCCTGAACCCTGGATCCTTCTGTGACCCGGGAGGGTCCCCCCGAACATCACTCAGGCTGATTTCTCTGCACCGTGGCAACTGGAGACTTGGGACTAGAATTTATTTGACTTGAAAAAATAAGAGTGTGACATTTCTTGCAGGCAGATGTTAGAGCAGAGGGACCCCAGGCCTCTGGCTGAAGGCCACCCACAGGCCTCCCGCCTGCCAGAGGCCTGGCCAGAGGATGCCAAGGCCCAGGTCAGCCTCCAACAGCCCAGAGGGCCCCGAAGGCTGCGGAGGAAAGGACAGAGGAACTGAAGTTTCAAAAAAAGAAAAGTGAAAATCACATTCATTTATTTCTGATTGTGAAAATGAAACAGGCCGCTTACAGAAAACTGGGGAGAAACGGGAATAGATACAGAATGCAAATCACCCCTCATTCCATCACCCACGATGATCATTAAAATGGTATTAGTGTTATCCAGCTTTCACATCTTGATTCTATACCCAGCTTTTTCCACAGTCGAGGCCATATTGACATTATTTATATAATTTATGTTCTGTCGATAGAGGACCACGGGTTCCTGACCTCTGCATGGTAAACGACGGAGCCGCGGCGCAGACACTTTCCCTACCCGGTCACACGTTAATGTGCACAGCGGTGAAGAATGGTACCAAACAGCCTCAGGATCCTGAAGAACTTCCTTCACCCTCTCTCTGCCTCTGTTTCTTCATCTGTAAAATGGGGCTGTGAAACCTTAGTTCACCACCTCGTAGCATGTCGAGGGCCACCTGGGAAAGTTCTTTCACAACTGTGATGGTATGGTGAGGCCATGTGGTGCAGCAACGTGAATCAGGAGTCCCAGCTTTTAGGATTCAATCTGCTGTGTGGCTTTGAGGCAGTTTCTTGGTTCCTCTGATCCTTAGCCGTCCACTTTGTTAAATGAAGGACTAGATTATGGATTCTAATGATAAAACTAGTAATTGTTAGAATGCTTAGTACCTGCCAAGCACTTCGTGTGCATCTTCTCAATTAATCTAACAACCACGAGGTGGGCACTCTTCTTTGGATGAGGAAACTGATACTGAGAAGTTGAGTGTCTTTCTCAGGTTGCTCAGCTGGTAGGCAGAAGACCTAGGATTAATACTGAGACTCCAGATCATTGCTGTCCAATGGAGAACTCCTAGGATGACAGACATGTTCCATACCTGTGCTGTCCAACACAGTAGCCACTAGCCACATGGGACTGTTGAGCACTTGAAAAGTGGCCAGTGGGACTGAGAACTGAATTTTAAAGTCAATTTATTTAAACTTAAATAGCTGCTAGAAGTTATGTCAGCCAGGGCAGTCTAGGACATCAGATTTTGGACAAATCAAATGTCTCTCCATGTGAGAGGGAGCATTAAGTGGTGAAAAGCATAGACTTTATAGACCGAAGCCAGGTTTTCAGGTTTGAATGCCAGCTTTGTCACTTACTAGCTGTGTGGCCCTGGGGGAGTGACTAACCCTCTCTGTTCCTCAACCCTCTCCTCTTCAACACGAGGATGATAAAGGTGGTTGTCAAGGCAAATGGTCTTTAGGCTGCGCATTTTATGGTTACGAAAATGTCACACACACACACACACACACACACACACTCCTTCAGATAAGCCCTAGGTTAGGGGATGAAAAGAGCAAGTGACACATGGCTGGGCCATCCTCAGGGGGTGGAGTGGGCAGGTTCCCGGAGGTCCTTCAGCTTCTCTAGTCAGGCACGAATCCTGAGGCCCCCGCTTCCCCTGGGGCTGGTAGGCGTGGAGGGTCCCAGGAGAACCGAGCACCCGATAATGAGACGAGTTAATCAAAAGGGCAGCGAGTCCCCAGGGCGCACGGCGCGTCCCGAGAGCGCGCGCGGGGGCGGGCGGGGACCGCGGCTCTGGGGCCGCTCTCCCAGCGGTGGCGGGAGCCTCCTGCGGAGGGGGGGACCCTGCGGGGAGTGACCGGGAGACGAGGAGCACAGATAGGAGCCGGGGGCGGAGGCGGTGACGCCAGCTCGTCCTGAGGTCAGGTCGCACGGGGGGCGGCAGCCTGGCCACCACGTGGCGCCGGGGGCGGGATTCCTGTCGCAGTCTATGTGATGGCGCCCCCTGCAGTTTATGCCGCGCAGCAGCCTCGTGTGTGTGTGTGTGTGTGTGTGTGTGTGTGTGTGTGTGTGTGTGAGAGAGAGAGAGGGGGGGGGGAGTCGCACGCCCCCAGCCCACTCCTTATTTCTGTCCCCTTTACTGGGATCAAAAAGGGGTCCTGAAGGAGGGCGAGCTGCCCGGGGAGGTTCACAGAAAGAGCCAGGGCGGCTGCAGGCCCTGTCCCTGGGGCAACCTGACCGCTCCCCCTGTCACCGCCCCTCCCGGGCCCCCTTTCCCTCCCAGCCCCGCCAGCCCTTGAGCTGGGGAACATTTGATCCTGCTTCTCCGAGAGCCGCAGGGGACGCGGCGAGAAAGGCCAGCTCAGCAAAACCCGACGCCACCCCTGGGGCGGCTGGGCAGGGCGGAGGCAGGACAAGTCCCAGTCACCCCGCCACCCGCAGCCGCACACTCTCCGCCCTCCAGTCGCCAAGGCCCCCCGCAAGCCCGGGCAGTGGGGTCTCCGTCCCCTGCACTTGTTCACCCCGGGTTTCCTAGGGCCCTGCCCTCGCCTGTCCCTTCCGCTCCCCGAGGGTCCCCTTCGGTGGCTGCCCCTCGGCAAACATTTCTTCCCCTGTAGCCACGGCTGGTATTCGTCCCCCTCTCCATATTGCCTGCGTGATTCGGTCCTCCCCACGCCCATCAGTCGGGTCTTGCCGGAAGCCTACTTTTGCTTGAGTCACTCGGTGTCACCTACTCAGTTCATTTTAATGAGCATAAATCAAATGACAACTGTGTGCCCAGCCGGGCACTGCCACTGTGTTTCCAGAGTGAGCGACACCCACCCTGCCCTTGAGCTCCCAGGACAGAGGCTGGAGTACAGGTGGGGGTTTGCAGACAGCACCCCATCTCAGGCGGCTCTGCCTCCCCAGTGGCCAGAAGTGCCTCCAGGAGAGGCCAAGGAGGGAGGCCAGGACCTGGCTTCTCTCTGGGGTGGGGCCTGGTCCCTAGAGAGCAGCTCATCTTCCCTGTGGGTGCTGCCTGCTGCCAGCTTCTCAGTCTTGCCTTCAAACAGGCCTCCTTCCCAGGGGCCCAGAGAGGCATTTGCATTAGGAGAAAAACCCAAATAAAACACCAGGCCTCTCCCGGGCTGGCTGAGCCTGGAGGGCCGCAGGATCAGGCTGAACCTGTGGGAACAGCCTTACAGAGAATCCCAGCAGCCAGCCTGGCCTTCCTGGTGCTCTATCCTCTTGTCCCCTACTCTGAAGGGGACACTTCCTTACCAGGATGGTGTGTTTCTAGACTGGCTCCAGTTCTACACCTGGATCCAGTACCCTCTTCTGGCTGTCTCTGCCCTCGGGCTGGGTAGTGTCCCCTGCCTCAGACTAGGACGCCCTGAGAACAGCCCTGTCTTTACTTGCTGGATGTATCCAGCACAGGGGGTGCTCAGCACGGCCTAGGATAATGGCCGATTCAATCAACATTGATTAAATGAATGACAGTCAAGAGTAGCATCTGCCCCCTTCCCAGACCCACCCAGGGGCAAAGCAGAGCCTGGTGGACCGGGTGCCCCCCGTCAGCTCAGAGTGGGAAGACCATATTTTTTTTGAAGTCAGTGTTCAAATTGCTTCGGATCCACAGAACCATCAGTTCAAACAGTTAAAGGACACTTCCCCTGTCCCAACACTGGTGTGGACAAAGGGAACCTGCGCTCTTGAGCTCAGGTGACCCTCACTTGGGAAATGGTGGCATTCAGATCTCAGGCCTCGCACGCAGGTCACAGGTGTTGGAGGCTGGTGCTGGAGGTGATCTGAGAGGTAGTGTCTGCACACACTGTCATGGTGGAAATGAGAATTTGGAGCCCGAGGGAGGGTCCCGTGGTCGAGGCAGGGTGCAATCATGATGTGGCAGCTGGAGAGGGGAGGGATTCCTCTGTATCTTTGTCCTTTTTCTCCACCCCCCACCCAAATCACCCTAGAGTTGGTCTCTGGTTGCTCACTGCCCAGCCGGTCGGTGAATGTCTCTTTGCCTCAGTTTTCACATCTGTAAAATGGAAGAGCCACATGTTTTAACTTACCTCACAGGGACAAGTGAAGGACCCAATAGGATAGTAGATATGGAATTCCTTGGAAAGTTCAAATGCTCAGGCACCTTTGCTAATGATTTAATTTATAATTCACAGAAAATCCAATTAAATCAACCTTTCAAGCATGGGCCAGGTTCCCATGTTTAGCCCCATTAGAATTCATTCATCAATTCATATGATGAGCATTTATTGAGCACCCACTGAGTAGTGGGATACTGTGGTTTCCCCTTTAATCTACTACCCATGCAGTGGCCATAGTGTGCCTGTTAAAAAGTCAGATCCCTCCTGATTCTACTCAAGACCACAACGCTGCCATCTCACTCAGAGTAAAATTCAATGTGCTGTAATAACCCCAAAGCACAAATGACCGGCTCCCTAAACCTCTTTGATTCCAGCCCTACTCTTCCCTCACCTGCTCAGCTGCAGCCAGGTGGTCCTCCAGCTGAGGTCCTCCTCACTACCACAGGAACTTTGCACTTGCTGTCTCCTTTCTCTGCAGATGTTGGCCTGGCTCCATTCCTCACGTCTCTAAGGTCTTGACTCACATGTTAGTGTAGTCTTCTCTAGATGTCCTCTCTAACATTTTAGCCCTCGCATTTTCTATTTCTCTTCCTAGCTTTAACAGTCTCCTTGACTCATTTTCTAAATACTACTTTCTTTCCTTTCTTGTGAAGTCTGTCTCTTCATTAAAGCATAACCTCTGGGAAGCAGGGATCTTGTCTGTTATTCACATCGAATTCACAGTACCTAGAGCAGTGCCTAGAACATAGTAGGTGCTCATTAAATAGTCATTCAATGAATGAATGGTGAACATATGTCCCTGTCCCCCAAGAAGCTGGCGTTCTCCCAGCAGAGGGCTGTCCGGGTATGGGATAGGAGTGCATGGTGGGGGGTACAGACCTGGGATAGAAGGCCACAGGTGTGGGGGGTGGGTTTCAAGGGTATCCTTGCAGGATTGGGTTTCACTATTCTTAAGCTGCACAATTTATAACAGGACTTAACTGCTTACTAATTAGCAGCTGGAGCCATTAATTGGCTATTTGTTAGAGCCCGAATTAATAAACTAGTCTTTCAGTGGGGTCATAACTCTCCCGGTTCCTCATCCCCAGGCAGCCCTCCCCGCTGGCCAGAAAGTGTCTTGCTCTGCGATTGAATCAATACCTGCCACTGTATGATTTTCAGAGACAATCTCCCTCGCAAGGCCCCCCGACAGCAGCATCACGGCAAAGACTTCCTCTCTCCCTCTCTCCTCTTCCAGGCTGACTCACCAAGAAGAGCAAGCTGCAGGAGAGGGGAGGACGCTCTAGTAACAGTTTTTATAACAAAAGCCTGCAGCTGCCCTGCTTGGCCTGGGTCTGGGGCTCCGGCTCCCTGGCCCATCCCCTCAGCCTGCAGCTAGTTCCTGACCCCTTCTGGCGCCCAAGCGCTGGGCTTCCTCTGAGGCAAAAGGATGGTGTTTTCCTTCGGTGGGAAGTGGCGGCAGAGCGTGCTGAATGCATAGTGGTGCAGCCCTCTGGTTGCTGACCCTGAGCCTCCAAGCATCATGCTCAGTCCCCTCCCGGGCCTGAGGCCCCCTCCAGAGCTCCTGCGATCTCGGGGTCCAGCTCTTGTGCCCCACTCTACTCTTAACAGCCTCATTTGGGCTCCAGAGGATTGCTCCAGTGTGGGAAGGGAACAGGAAATGCTTGTGAAGGTTACTCCTAGGTCCCTGGGCCCTTGCCTCTCTTGGGCACAGGACAGTGGGAAAGAGCAAGGTCATCCAGCCAAGCCACCGAGGTCAAAGCCCAGTCTGGCCACTTAGCAGCTGGGTGAGTCATGAGGATTAAACAGTGGATACACATGACCTGCGGTGTCAGCCCCTCCCTCACCCACATCTGGAGGTGGACATCCTAACTCCCGGAGGATCTACCGCGGGGGGGAAACTGAGGCCTAGAGAGGCCAGGACAGGAACGCAGGGCTTCTGGCTTCCATGCTAATGTGTTCCCTTCTCTGGGGCTCCCCACCATGGTCCCACACATGGCTCTCTCTGCAGCAGCAGGCAGGGCACACCTGGGGGAGGAGATGGCGGAGTCTTCACGGCCCCCACCAACAGGCTGCAGGTAGTTGCACTGCACACCATGAGCCGCAGAGTGCTCCCAGGTGGATCTCTACAGCACACATTCAGTCCCAGCCGGCCTTGAATCTGGACTTCTGCCCCTGTCCTCCCAGCCCTCCTCCAGGCCAGCAGGGGTTCAGAGAGGGCACACTTAAGAGAACCTCAGCAGGGTCTTTAAACTCAGAATGGGCAAGGCCAGAAAAGCCAGCGTCACTGTCACCACCGTCACTCCCTGAGAGCTTCCCTGAGGAGGTAGGGTTTCTAGAAACCTCCTAATAATGAGAAGATGGTAATAAATGAAGCCTCTCCTCGGCACACCCTCAACTGGTGGGTGCCACTTCCTTTTCAGACCGAGTGGGGGAGGTGGGTGGGAAGATGCATGACGGCTTTCTATCTCTGGAGAGCAGAAAATGAATGGGTTTTTTTCCTTTGGGGTAATGGGAGGTGGAGAGAAGGAAGGATGGTTACATTGAGGGGAACTCAGTTCTGTGGTTTCTGGCTTGTGATGGACATCATTCATTAATCCATTTAACGAACCTTGCGTTGGCCTTCTCTGGGTGAACAGCACTGAGCTTTCTTTTTGGACCCTCGTATTCAGCCTCTGACCTATGGAAAGGGACAGAAGAGGAGAGAGAGGATGAAGGAGACCAAACAAGCCAGGGTACCTGGGGGGGCGGTGTCTTCAAGTGTCCTCGGACTTCCTGAGATGGACAGAAGAGGGGCTGAGGTGTCCAGCGCCCCTCCCCATGCCACAAGGCATGTCCCCACACTTTCTCCTTCCTCCTGAGCAGTGGGGGTAAGCGCTGGAGGGTCAGAGGAGAAGGGACCCAGCAAGAACAGACCTGGGGAAGGAGTGGTTTATTAAGATTTTAAATTTTATGTTTTGATTTACATGCAGAAGAATTAACACTTTTTTGGGGGCGTCTTTGAGTTTTGACAAATGCAGAGTCGCGGAATCACCCTCGCAATCCACATACCCAACAGTTCCGCCGGGTGAGCGGGAGGAGGGTTTGTAATTGCCCGGTTGTTGTAGCTGCCGCGGCTGTCCGCGCTCCCACGGGCCGCTCTGCCACAATCCCCGCGCCCACGCCGAGATAAATAACGGCGACAGGTGGAGCAGGTGAGATGAGCAGGACTGGGCTGGGGACCGGGATCCGAGGCCGAGGAGGCCGCCCGCCCTGCCAGCCTGTCTACGCCCCTCCCTGAGGGCG